TCTTCAACTTTCCGAAAATTGATTACAGATGCACTGCGTGATCTACTTCCTCGCAGCCGCTGTTGCAGTATTGGCTAATGGCCAAGTGCAGAACTCTGGCTACGAAGACGCCGAGCAAGTTCAACCTGCTCCAGCTCCAGTGAGCTCCGATGGTGGAGATCAGCAAGCCTACAACTCTGATGCTGCTGCCCCAGTAGCTCCTCCTCCACCACCACCGCCACCACCTGCACCTGTTCAGAGCTACGCAGCTTCACCAGCTCCAACTGCGTACTCCGTTCCCACCACCAGCGGCTACGCATCCCCACCTCCACCTTCATACGCAGCACCCGTCAGGAACAGTTACGCCTCTCCACCTCCACCTTCATACGCAGCACCCGTTCGAAACAGTTACGCATCCCCTCCTCCACCTTCATACGCAGCACCCGTCCAAAGCAGTTATGGAACCTCACCACCTCCAGTTTCATACGCAGCGCCTACTCAGGCCAGCTATGGAACTTCCCCACCTCCAGCTTCGTACGGTGCACTTGTCTCTGACAGCCCTTATGGACCCACCAGTGATACTCCAGTAACAGTGAGTCCTTGCTCATTCGTCATCGCATCGAATTCAAGGGCTCAATCATTTCAGGGTGGCAACGGCTACAGAAGATACCGTGTTTTCCGCAACCGCGTTCGCAGTGCTCGCCTTTGAATCAATGCTCAAACACAAATACGTTAATAAATGAAGAAGAGTCCAAGTTTTAGACTCCGTTCGCCAAATCTGACTGCCATAAACAATTGTAATCCACTGTTATCAATGTTCTTATGGTTTTGGAGTATTCTGAATACACTGAGCACAATGAATGAAGAACTGCTAATAAAAGAGGAAGAGGAAGTGTTGAAAAGTAGCGATTCAGTGGAGTGAAGAATGCCGGTATAGCGAGAAAGCAAGCACTTGATTACAGTGCTAGTTCTATCCATTTGAATTTTTTTTCAAATCAATGATTTCCTTGTAGAAATTCTGACACGGCACCTAAAATCAAAGGAGGTTCAGCTTAAAAAAGCCGCTGCTTAGAAAAGAAACTAGACTTTTTAGCATAGCTGAGGCAAAGGAATTGAGGCCCAAACTGAATCAGGAACTTTTCTGGACAAAGCAGAGAATTCGTGGCACATACAGTACCAACACTGCCGCCTTGAAATCCTACGATATAATTTCGCTGTCTGGCCGTAAGTGCCGCATCACGATAGTTACTTCAACCGATCGGATTCTAGCTTGAATATTTGGAATCAGCGCCTTCTGAACTATCCGGAAGTGTTTTTGAAACATCCCCATCTTGTTTTTGGAGATCTTTCTTTGCGACCTTCGGCGATACAAACGCATCGCCGCTTTGGTATTGCCGCACAGCCATAACTTTCTTCAACTTGAATCTTTTGAATTCGAGTTTGGATATGTGGCATCGGCGTCCAATAAGCTACCTAAATAAGCTCTTAAAAATTCTGAAAACTTTTTGGCTCCATGCCAGCGGCGATTTAAACGCAATGCAGCATTGGAAGTGCCACACTACTGTAACTCGGTTCACAGTCCTTCAACCATAATCTCTATCAAATTTTGAAATGTATCTTTTTGTCCACTCATAATTTCACTCCGACTTTGCTGATTCTTTTGTCTTGGTACTGTTTGAGTTGATAACAGCGATACAAACGCATGTCGCGTTGGAAAAGCCGAAAAGCAGGAACAATTCAATGCCACCTGCAGATGAGCATCTCGCAGAAATTTTTGAAAAACACGTATATCGAAGCACCTTTCACGGAGTAGACACGGTCGAAGAAGGCAAACTTAACAAAAACTCCAAACATTTTTTAAACAAGCGGGCAAGAATTTGCACATATTTGCAAGTGGCTCCGAATAACCATCATTCTTTTTGAGAGAGAAAGAAGACGACAAGTTGGTTGTAGAAAACACTCCTGGGTATCGCGTAAAGCGCTGACCTTATCTATTTTCACCAAACAAACCCTCAGAAGACATCGTATGGACCAAACGCTAAGTTTTGAAAGTCGTTACGAGCATATTCGATCCGATGGGATGCTCCCGTGCTTTGTTCAGAAAAAGTCTTTCTTCAGTCGGAATGCGAAGGAAATCTTCGATAGGACAACACTCACTCCCAGACATGGTTGATATGTGGACAATCACTGTAAAATGAGCAATGCTATCTGCTATCTGCTATCTAAATGCTATCTGTACCGGCTCGTCTAACCCTTGAGGTTAAAATCTACATTAGCTAAGATTTTTGCTCATAACCCATATTCACAACAAGATTGCATGGAAATACATGGAAATTCCTCGTGACATCCAAGGTGGAATTTAACCCTAGAACAGTAAGGTCAATCTTCCTTGACTTTGCACAGAGTAGGCACTATCTCAAAGGATCCTTAGTTCTAAGGAACTGTTTTCAAAGACAAATATGTTTGTGTCCATTACTAGCTCAAATTATGTTTACTCAATGTCTTTTTGTCTCACTTGGTCACGATTTACAAGGCTTTGAGATTTACTAATAATTATTAATGACCGAACCATCAACCCTTGACAAGTATAGTTCATTTGTAAAATCGTGACGACAGATTTTACTGCGGACTTTGCGCCCACATGAGCATAAAACGCTTATACACGAAGGCATCACCTCAACGCTCAGCCTAGTCACATTCAGTGTGTAAATACTATCATACATAGGCAGAAAACCCATTCGAAGAGGGATGAATACCAAGAAAATGCAGTTTTCGGAAGGTGCTTGCTTGTCGCACGCGATCGCGCCATCGTTACGATTTTTCAAGTGCTCTAAACGCATCGATGAAAGTCAGGCGAGCTCCTATCTTTCGGAAAATTTTTTCGCAAATCGAAACTAACTATTAGTCACGGTTCGAAGTGGCTTTAACCTTTGAAAGTGAGTAGGCAAGTTGTTCAACAGGTAAGCGAGAAGTGCAGACAAATTTCCGAACTTTCGTCACTTCGTCACTTGTTAGTTACAGTTCTCTTATCATATCTCTGCTAGAGGACCCTGTACTCCGAAAGACCACGAAGTTCGTAAACAGCGTGTTCGAATTCTATGAGAGAAGTTCCTTACAATCCAAGATCATCAATATTTTGGCCAAAATCATAGGCGAGCTTCATAACGTGAGACGAAAAAAATTGATTAGGAGAATCACATCTGCTTAGGAGGAGAGCTTTATATATTAGAGTTATGGTGAGTAGAATCTGGGACGACATCTGTCGTAGATTATCTAGATAATTTACAGCCTGTATTACTGTAGATCAGTCATGTATATTATATCTCTCATAGCATGTTGTTGACAAACTCAAGTGTTCACTGACCTGCCTACTTGGCGGTGGTTACATTCATGTAAGCAAACCTCTGTGTGATACTGCTGTTTGCCAGACACTGACATTGTTGCTTAATTTATTGAGAACATGATTTTTTAAGAATTCGTTTGCGGCTGCTTTCTAGCGCTTGATATTTACGAAAATAGCCCTAAGACTAGTGCTCACTGGAATTTATGTGCGATGTGCGCTGCGTCACATCCTTCCAACAAGACCTCGGCGGAAAAGTCTGGGAAGCTGGAAACCGATTATTGAAAACATGCTTTAGATCAAAAGATGTGCCTTGATAAGCTAAGCAGAAACCTTTTTTCAAATTTGGAATATACGCGTTTTGAAGAAAGTTATGGCTCTGAGTAATTTGCGTAATTCGCATAATTCCGCGAAACTCCCGAAGTGTCCCCGAATTTCCGAAATGTCGCGGACACCCGCGAAATTTCCGGGCCGCGAAGGTCCGCGACTGCTAAACTGTATGAGAATTAGCACGAAGAGTTTTGATTCGGCACTGGCATTCGCGAGTCGGGCTGATCAGAGCAATGTCAGGAATCTTAGTCTAGATTCTTATCGTGGTGTTGATTTAGCAGAACTTCCTGATAAGGTGTAAGTTCCCATACAGTGGTTTTACAAGTAAAGAATGAATCACTGCCTTTCAGAAAAGTCTTTTTAGAACATAATTCTACGCATCATCCACGTGATGTTTTTTCGAAAATTTGTGAACATTTGTGAACAGCACATTTGTGAATTTGTGAACAGCACAGTGTTAGAAAATGCGTTTTGTTGATTATTGATTTTTTACTGTCGACAATATGTAGCACACAAAAGGGTCTCAAATAAATTTGAAAGAAAACTGCGTACAGGTGTTGATTTAATACAAAATTTGCATTCCTGATTGCAACCAATACAGATGCGGATGCTTAGGTAAACTCAATGCTTTTCTATGCCAGTTTTTATCAAACTCTTGAAGCTTTTGGATAGATACCTGCAAATTGAAATTGGAAGTTCAAGTCAAGCTGAAGAAAAAACTGTGAAAAGAGCTTTTACCACTGGTAACTGATGGTAGAAGGAATTGGATTCGTGATAGATGTATTGAGACGATATGACTACCCACATGTAAATTCCGGAACATCCACTGCTGGTGCTTGGTTACGCTCTACGTTGATCAAGTGTAACATTAAGTAACTCGGAGGAAGAATTGCTGAATAATGAAGGTGAGTAAGAAATGAAGCATGCGAGGTCACCATCGTTTGACGAAGCTTTACTGCGAACTATAAGGGTTCGACCGTGATCGCATTCCAAGCATAGAAAATACCACAATCACATCCGTCAAGTTAACCTGATGTACTTACCACCTATAAACGTTAACTTATCCGAATTCAATAAGCGCACTACAAAGATAAGAGACACTCTGAATAGTCTACGGATTGTCTAGCAATTGTCGCGTGCGGCACGAGTCATAAAAAACTTATTGGATCGAATGAGTAATTAAATGGTGACATTCAATGACATATATAGTGTGCGAGAATCTGGAAACTCACAACACAGTTTCTTGAGTCTTGTGTAGACCAACAAATTTTCTTATAGCTTTCACATGTCTTAATCAAACTTCATACATATCTAACTCTTTCTTTATCAACTTTCTGAAAATTGATTACAGATGCACTGCATGATCTACTTCCTCGCCGCCGCTGTTGCAGTATTGGCTAATGGCCAAGTGCAGAACTCTGGCTACGAAGACGCCGAGCAAGTTCAACCTGCTCCAGCTCCAGTGAGCTCCGACGGTGGAGATCAGCAAGCCTACAACTCTGATGCTGCTGCCCCAGTAGCTCCTCCTCCTCCACCTCCTCCACCACCACCGCCACCACCTGCACCTGTTCAGAGCTACGCAGCTTCACCAGCTCCAACTGCGTACTCCGTTCCCACCACCAGCGGCTACGCATCCCCACCTCCACCTTCATACGCAGCACCCGTCAGGAACAGTTATGCCTCTCCACCTCCAGCTTATGCAGCACCCGTCAAAAACAGTTACGCCTCTCCACCTCCATCCTCATACGCGGCACCTGTCCGCAACAGTTACGCGTCTCCACCTCTAGCTTCATACGCAACACCCGTCCAAAGCAGTTATGGAACGTCACCACCACCAGCTTCATACGCAGCACCTACCCAGGCCAGCTATGGAACTTCCCCACCTCCAGCTTCGTACGCTACACTTGTCTCTGACAGCCCTTATGGACCCACCAGTGATACTCCTGTAACAGTGAGTCCTTGCTCATTCGCCATCGCATCAAATTCAAGAACTCAATCATTCCAGGGTGGCAACGGCTACAGAAGGTACCGCGTTTTCCGCAACCGCGTTCGCAGTGCTCGTCTCTAATTTATGCTCAAACACTTTACGTTAATAAACGATGCAGAGTCCAAATTTTTGTTTTCATTCGCGATGTACCCTAAATGTCGTAATCCCAACAATCTGTCATCACATTACCTCTTCAAAGAACTGAAGCAACTGAGAAGAGGACAACGAATGAAAATAAGTAAATAACGAAAGAGAAAGCAATGATGCTAAAATAGACGTTTTTTTAAGCGGGCTAAAAACCCTTTAGGGCGAAAGCGAAACAAAGTATCCTATTGTAACAGTATTAATGCAAGTGCATCGTGATGGTGTGCTGCCTGCATAAAAGTTTCACGTATTCAATGACTTTCTTCACGTTTCCTCTGACGATGAGATGACTTTGATTGTTGGCCCTACCTATTTAGGTTCTCTAAATCTTCAACGAACAAGCCACAAAACAGCGACTTTACTTTTAGCACTTTACATCCTGACCAGGAAATTGAACCAATGAAAGTTCAGCTCAAGCAAGCCGCTGCACCAAATATATTTTTGAATCTCTTTTTAGCAAAGCTCAGGCAGAAGAATGCACAAACCTAAACCATCAACGAGGCCTTAGCAAGCAATCGCAGAAGTCATGAAATTCTCCCTTAGCTATTCGCACGGCAGTGACTTCTGGCTACCTGCTTTAGAGATTCCAGTTAGTTCAGAGTGGAAATCAAAACATCCGATCCGTGCAGTTTGTCCACGAATCTTTTCTCAGTCATAAGCAACTTATTCACGCTCATCTTACCGCAAAAGAATCTTCATTTTCAACTCGTTGAGACAGTATCCGTGATTACTTAGCCGTCATTTCCAAGTTATTGAGATTAAAACAAATTTCTCATACTTCATGAATTCGTTCCTTCTACACAATGTAGTCTGTACAAATCTGACCTACTATAAACGAAGAATTCGCTGCGCAGTGGCTTCATATATGAAACTGCTTGTAAGCAGAAAGCTCGAAAAAACAGAAATTAACGCTAAGTACTCTCAAGCAAAATGACTGTTGCCAACTGCACCCGTGGGATATACGTGAAAATTCCAGGCTATAATGCAAGTTCCTTTCCTCTCTTCCATGCTTCATATCTTCCCAGAAATTTTCACGACATGTGAAGCGCTTTTTGAAAAAGCTTGGTGGTAAAATTCTTTTGGAAATTCCCCCCACCCCCACAGCATAAACAAGGATGAATGTGTATCTAATTATTAGGTACATCTTTTTGCTTTTTGTTTTAGTTCACAAAAAGCTACTGATGCAGCTGAGATAGATTATCTGACTTCAAAGTAGTTGCTCTTCTTCAAATGCTGTTCCGAGCAGCGAAACGAGAAATTTGAGCAGTGTTGTCACAAGGTAACTACTTTCAATGTCTGTGGAGGTTTGATATTAAATGCATTTTCTCTGAAGCAATGTGGAACGCTGATTTCAAAACTGCAACCCGTTTTTGCGTAACGCACTTCTGAAATGTTATGGAACAATAAGAATACTATATTTGGGCCAGATTTAGAGGAGCAGTTTCTTGTTTGCTACGTTAGTCGTGCAGTGACGCACTGGTTAGACTGCTGTCATGGGAGGCGAGAGTTTAATGGTTCGAACCCTTTGAAGGGCGAACTCTTTTGCATTTTGAGCGTGAGTTCGATACGATACTCAGATAATCGCCGGGGGCAGGCGGCCATGCGAATTTTGAGCAAGCCGCGCCGGAAAAATAGTTTGCTGATTTTTTGCAGTACGCTTGCAGAAATTTGGAATAATTTTGGCCGTTTTTTAGACGAACGCTCGGAAAACTATCGCGGTTTTTACGGATAAGCTGCTGCCAAGCGGACTCTCTTCTCTCGGACTTTTCGCGAGAATATGCAAAATTGGTGGGGGCCACACGGTCTTTTCTAGAGGACACCGCACTGCCCAGCCTTCCGCTGAAAGAAGGTACCCCAAACTCGGGTAATTAAACCATTGATGGCACCTCTGCCACATAGAGTCTCACCTTCGCTCGGCGTACGCCCGAAACTGTGTAAAAAGAGTCCAAGCGCTTGCTGAAAGAAATTGTTTGCCGAGAGCGCAAATGCTGCATTGCTGCCCGCTGGCAGAAATGCGACCGTAAAGAAAGTGCCGCCCGCTGAAGGTTTGGCCACGCCCCAAAATTCTGCTGACCGCCTGCAGAAAGGCGCGAGTTTGCGGACCGCCTGTCCCCGGCGATTATCTGAGTAGTTCGATACGTGAGTTTGACGTCGTGACTTGAATCGCACTCGAAAACAAAGTCTGCAGACGATTTCAGGCGTGTACCGGGCTTACACTGAAAATGCGAAAGAGTTCGCACTCAACAAAAGCGGAACAATTGACCTCTAGCCTCTATCTCTAGCACGCTAACCAATGCGCCACTGCACCGCTAGCGTACATAGCAGCGTCCTCGAACTTAGGAAGCGCTCCAAAAAACAGTATACTCAAGCCTACAGTCGAATCAATTCGTACAATCATGTATGGTATTGCACACACCATCCGCCTTTGGCGTTCACATCCTAGCTTCTTCGAGGAGGGTTCTTTAGGCAGGTGATTTCGACGTGTTTTCAACGTTTTCTTTTCTTTTAAGGTACTATTCGCCTCAAAGTGATGTAAGCGATAGCAATCGGTCAGTCTCCTGCGTTCTGCGATTATAAATCTAGGATGAGGACGCCATAGATGGACGGTGTGTGCTGGTGCACACATAATCATATGAAAGGATTCAACTGTACATAACTCCTTACGAAGTGTATTCCGGTACCCTACAATCTTTCCCTAAAAGAAGTGAGGTTTTGTTAGCGCCAGCACTTTTCTTCTTTACGAAAATTTGCATAATGACATTATTTATTGATTCAAATCTCAAAGTATCTTCATGACATATTGTTTCAGTGACGAGCACTGCGAAGACGATGACGGAAAACACGGTATTTTCTGTATCCGATGTTGTTGCCAGCCTAAAGAAAGCGATTATTCAATGCTGAAACGGCAGAGGCTAAGGAAAACTCACTAGAGCTGGGATATCACTGGTAGGTACATCAGTGTTGAGAGGAAGAGGTGTTGGGAAAGGGGAAGTTCCATAACTGCCTTGCATAGGAGGATATGAAGGTGAAGGTGAGGATGCGTAGCTGCTCCGGACAGGTGCAGGTGGTGATGGCGGTGGTGGTGGAGGAGGTGGTGGAGGAGAAGCGGGAGCCACTGGGGCAGCAGCATCGGAGTTGTAAGCTTGCTGATCTCCACCATCAGCGCTGACTGGGGCTGGAGCAGGCTGAACTTGCTCGGCGTTCTCATAGCCAGAGTTCTGTACTTGGCCGTAGGTCAATACTGCAACAGCGGCGAGAACGACTACTACACAACGCATCTGTAATCAGTTTTGTCGGAGAGAGAAGTGAAATCAAAAGGATAGCCTATATGGTCGGCGAAAATTGAGGGAAAATAGGAAGAACTGGATAGCTTTGCAGCGAAGTGTGGTGCAGACCTCCGTAGACTCCTTTTATATACAGCGGAGTTTTACAGTTTTACCATTCATTCGATCCAGTAAGTATTTATAGGGTGCGCAATAAACACCCATTGTCTGTTTTCTAGCGATGCTCTTACCAAGCAATTCACACTTCCAGCATATGCTGACACTGGCGATACGCGGATAGCATATGGTTGATTGCGGCTCTAGTTACATTCACTCATAAAGTGTAATGAGAGAAATTATTTGAATGAAAAGAGCAATTATTAGCGTTTTTTTTTCGAAGGCAATAGAGCGTCTCTACGTTTCAAAATTCGCGAGTTTCAACACACAAATTAATGCATAACATAGGTAGCACATGAATAGAGAACGATGCTGAAGTTTTTGAAGAAAGATAAAGTTATCATTGCTAAGAATTGCCCATACAGTCGTAGGCAAACGGGGCAGTTTATCTCGTTAGTAGCTAGGATTGGCTTCGGTTCCTGTCGAAAACCATAATGCAAAACATATTTCCCTGTCTCTGTCCCACTTTTGGACGTACCTGCCCTCCCTTGTATCAATTCGCGGTTGTTACTGCGCACCGTAAAAATGCTAGTTGAATCGAATGAATAATAAAACTGTTCAAATGTATAGCATATAAGAAGGTCTGCAGAGAGCGTCACCACACCACCACAGAGCTAGTCAGCTCTTCTTAGCTTTCAATTTTGGCGATGCATATACGTTGAGTTTTCATTTTCATTTCTTCTTTATGACAAAAATGATTACAGATGCGTTGCGTAGTAGTCATTCTCGCCGCTGTTACGGTATTGGCCTACGCCCAAGTGCAGAACACCGGCTATGAGACCGCCGAGCAAGTCCAGCCTGCTCCAGCTCCAATCAGCGCCAGCGGTGGAGATCAGCAAGCCTACAACTCTGATGCTGCTGCTCCAGTAGCTCCTGCTTCTCCTCTCCCACCTCCCCCTCCACCGCCGCCATCACCACCCGCACCCGTCCGAGAGAGTTACGCGTCTCCACCTCCACCTTCTTGGGTGTATGTCAAGAGGCGCGATTTTTATTGCCAGCTGGACACCAAAAAGCACATAATAAGTGTTTTGCAGCTCTCTAAAAGTATATGAAATTTAGAAGAAGATATATTAGATAGCTGCATGACTTGTTCAATCTTGATACTCTAGAAAAAATTCAAAAGAGCAATTTTGAAGGTCAAAAACTCATGAAAATGCATTTCAGAACAAATTCGTAAATATTTCAGTCCGATTTATAGCAAAAACCATGAAATTCAGCAAGTGGCGACCTCAAACAGATAGTAAGCTAATGCATTTTATCCGGTAATTTTTGAAGACTCGCATAGCACTAAACTGGAGTTTTAACTTGGTGACAGCCAGAGAAATCGCGCCTCTTGACCGTCTCCCCACCTTCTTACCCTCCTATGCAAGGCAGTTACGGAACTTCCCCACCTCCATCTTCGTACGCAACATTTGTCCCCGGCAGCACTTATGGACCCACCAGCAACACTCCAATGATGGTGAGTCTCATCTCAACTTTCGCTACTTCAACATCAGGTGAACGTGATGTGCATATCCGATTTTTTCAGCCTGACAACGGCATGGGATACAGACGTCGCCGTGTTTTCCGTCACCGAGCTCGCAAAGCTCGTTTCTGAAATAATGTATCATAAACGAATGCGATAATAAACAATACAGTAATCAAGTGCTCGTTTTCAGAAGACAGTGATATCTAAGAAAATCACTTAACAGGGCATTACAACTTGGTCACAGAGTCTAGAACGTAGTGCACGGTAGTCGAAAACCTTGAACAAGCCCGGAAAATAAACTGAAACTGGAAGAGGACGAGGAAATTCTGAATAAGATTTCTTCTAAGGGAGCAAAGATGCTTGGTATACAAGGTATTGCGTAGGCGAATTTAAATGTTACATGAGTATAGAGAGCGTAATTTTCATAAAAACTAACTGATATAAGAATCAGCAAGCATAGCCTAAATTCAGCGTGAAAGTTACATAGGAGCTGCTTTTATTATGAAAAGCGTGTGTTTCCAAATAATAGATCGAATTCATTTTGTCGCTTTTCCGCTTATCTAGATTTCTGCGAACAGAAGCACTTGCGCGATCATATTGAGTTTGCTAGTTGAATCTAAGGTGAAACTTTTATCCCGTTGTTGTTTGGGTGTCTTCACTGCATTTTCTTGAACGAGCCAGTCACAGTGAAGAAAGATTTAGTTCGTTCCCCACCTTCAGCTTCATACCCCACTTCTATAAAAGGCAGTAATGGTACTTCCGCTCTTCTGCCGCCTGTTTCTGGTGATACTTATAAAATCAACTTGCCACCCTAATGTTAGTGAGTTTTCGCTCACCTTTTTGCCATTTCAGCATCAAATTTAATCACTCGATTATTTTAGACTAACAGGATACGGAAGAAAATCGACGGTTTTCCGTCAATCTTCGCATCTTCGCTCATCTTAGCAAAAAAAGTCTAACAAACTATGCAATAATAAAACAATGCACCTTTCAAGTTTTTGTTTGTGTTTGACGAAAGAAAAATTGAGCTCAAACATACTTCATATAGCTTCGCTGTTAAATGAATTGTTTATAAACAAAATGTTGGCCGCGCTGATTTTTGAAGCAGATAGCGAGAACAAGTGCAAAAGTTGAAACAAGATGGGAATGAAGTACAAAGAAATTCGTAATTAACCACCGGTGGAAAGTACTTTCTTTGCAAGCCATAGCCACAAAAACTAATTATGCAGCAAGTCCAAGGACTTTCTCAGTAAGTGAGGGAAAATCATAGAAAGAGTAAATCCTACCACAGTTCTGGTTGGCTGACTATATGGCGGAAGGTAGCTCTCCCATGGCTTTCCCTATAGTGCTGACCAAAAGTTTGCAGCTACTCTGAAAAATAGCTATAATTTATTTCGCATCTGCATTATGAACCGAAATGATGGTATTATGTGCAAGTTACTCTACTTTGCGATGTAATGAAATACCTTCACTAATGCAGAAGGTGATTTTTGGAAATTGGCAGAAATGAGGTTGGTCAAAATTTGCAGTCACTTCTTTTTGATCGTCTTTGTAAAAGTCTCTAAACTTCCAATATTCGTGCTACGGATGTACCCATAACCGCAAGTCGACTTTGAAAATCGAGAAAATCGTCATGTTTCGGACAAGTAACTGACGTGTACATGCCCTTATAAAGAAGATTTACTAATCAGATGTTCGAAATCAATCAGAGTGTGTGACAGAAAAAGCACTATCCTAAAATTTCATAGATAAGAGCGGTTTAATTTACCGGTGAAAAATGAATTGGAATGAATTGAAGTTGAATGCAGTCACCCCTCTAACTTGATGGAAGGATAAATAAAAATCGGAGAAGAAGTTTAGAAAAAGCTCTGCCCCTCAACTCTAAACCCCGCCCCACTTAATAAACAATTCATGTAGAAATTCCGAAATTCCATTAAAATCGCTATTTTTCTATATGAATTGCTTATTAAGTGGGCGTTTAGAGTTGAGGGGCGGAGCTTTTTCTAAACTTCTTCTCCGATTTTTATTTATCCATCCATCAAGTTAGAGGGGTGACTGCATTCAATTTCAATTCATTCCAATTCATTTTTCACCGGTAAATTAAACAGCTCTTGTCTATGGGATTTTAGGGTAATTGGCTCGAATTCAACTTATCTGTTTCTGCTTCAAAATGCGCCGAATTTAATAGAAGACAGTCAAGTAAAATTTAGACCGAGTAATGATTTCTGTCAGACAGTCTGATTGACTTCTAAACTCTGAATGATAGAACTTTTCTATAAGAGCACTGCAAGTCAATCCCTTGTTCAATCTAACGAATCTCGATTCGTTAGATTGAACAAGGGACTGACTTGCAGTGCTCTTATAGTTACAATTCACAGTTAACTTGCGGTGAAACCAATTTGTTCCCTAAAGTCTCCTTTTTTATGGTACGGTGGAGCTGGTTGTCGGCTGTAATCAAGCAATTATGGATACATTTGCAGCACGAGTATTGGAAGACTTTCACAAAGGCGCTTGACAAAAAGCGCAAGTTTTGGCCAGCCTCATTCCTGCCAATTTTCTGGAATCATCTCCTGCATTGAACTATCGTTTGGGTTCATTATGTAGAATCCAAAGTAAATTATAGCTATCTTTCAGAGTGGCTGCAAACATTTGGCCAGCACTGTATCGCCACCTCCTCTTTAGGCACTAGTCCTAGCAGTCATGCATAGATATTAGGTTGTCCCAAAAGTATTTTCGCTTTTTTTTAACAAGCGCGTCAGTTCGCAGAACAAAGATTTACAGGAGCTTTTGGTAGCCGATGCAGTTTTTCAAGCCCTTTCAAATGATCATTTCTGTAATGCAGATGAAGCAACGAGCTCTCAGAAAATTGTTATAAACTGCGGCCCATGCTTTTTATCAATGTCAAGTTCCACTATGTTTCTGAATTCGTGTACTGATCTTCCGAAGAAGTCCAAGTGGCCTGCGGATAGAACAAAGATTCCCAGGGCTTTCCATAATTTTTTGACAGAATTTTGAACAACACCATCGAATTTTGAGAGTCCCATACCAGACGCAGACTCGTCAAACTCCACTATATTCTCGATTTTCGATACTCTCAAAGTGGATTAGGATTCAGCACTAATTTAGCGGAACAAGTAAGCTTTCCGGGGTTCGAAATACCTAATTTTTAATTTGTCGGGTGCAGCCTGGGGTTCCTTAAAAAACATGAATTTTGCCGATTTTATCCTCCAAAACTTCTCGAATTAGGAACAAAAAACATGTCTCTGAAAGAGGAGAAAGTGCTGCATCGAATAGCACCCGAGTTGCTTGTCGGCTGTTGTTCTATGAGGTTTAAGTTGACGAAATATGGAATTCGATAGCATCGAAAAAATAATTTTGAAAGATTTTCGGAGTAAGCTATGGAAGGGACAAAAATTTTTTTGCATCCCACTTTGTTTGCTCTATCGACAGGTTACTTGGACTTCTTCGGGGAATCAGTACAAGAATTCAGAAAAATAGCTGAACCTGACCTTGGTAAAAAGCATGGGCCGCAGTTTATAGCAATTTTCTGAGAGCTCGTTGCTTCATCTGCATTATAAAGATGATCATTTGAAAGAGCATGAGAAACTGCATCGAATGCTACCAAGAGCTCCTGTAAATCTTTGTTCTGCGGACTGTGGCGCTTGTTCAAAAAAAGCGAAAATACTTTTAGGACGACCTAATATAATGATTAGAAGGGAGATTCGCCTTCCTTCGTTACCCTTCGCCCTTCTTCTCCATCACCGATTTCTGCTAGAATGTGTAAAAGTTTGTGAGTTTGTTTTAGTTCAGTCGTTTCCCCACAATGTGTAAATGACATGATGGAATAATGTGCACCTTCGACATTATTTTCTTTAGTTGATCCTCTTGTTCACTGCCCCTAAAAAATTTGAGAGGATTCATCAAAATGGAAAGAAAAGAGGGAAGAAGGTTTGTATTGATTTTCTTCGAAAAACTTTATGCATTCGAAACAAGGAGCTCATCATTCATGTGGAGGAACTCAAGCTTCTGTGCTTGTCTTTTCATCATCAGTTTATTTATTGGAAGTAAGACTCCACTAGTCTTTAAGTTGGATGTAGTACCCACGAATCCGGGACTTTCGAGTAAAACTTGATGCTCTTAGGCACAGCTCACAATTTAGTTTTCGGTCTACTCTCAACCGTCTTCAAACAAGATCGCTCTCGCTGGTGGTCAAAACGGACGGAAGTCCCCAGCATTAGTCATCAGCCAGTTTGGATATTTGAATCTCCTGCATCTTCCCCGGGTACTTTGCAGTTTAGCTGCTTTTGCAGCTGACAGCTCTAGAGGCCGAAACCTTTGAACATGTCTAAATGTTTTTTTTTTCGTAGTGCGAAATCATCCTTTTCAAAGCAAATTAATAATATTGAATCGTTGCATCAAAAATGAACAATATTGTGAGGTTTAGTGCTAAGGGTGTCCTGGCAAAAGATTTTGAGATTTTATGCTTATCCGGGTCTATTCGCTGTGCTGAATCCGAAAACCCACGCCGAAGAGCGCGAAAACGACCGAAAAAAATTATAAGACAGGAGGGAAATTAGCAGGGGGCCGGGTCTTTCCCAATATGAATTCACTCTCCCAGCTTCCGCAACGATCTTCTCAATTCCGCTAGCCGCCCTGACATTGCCACCCTCCAAGTGCAAATGCTTGACTTAGGGGAACTGGCAAGATCGCTCCGGAAGCTCGGACCGTGAATTTACAGTGGGGAAAATCCCGCCCTCCTGGTGATTTCCATCTTGCGTTAGAGCCCTTTTTCGCGCTTTTTGCGCTCTCCATCATAGATTTTCGGGTTTAACATAGCGAACAGGCCGGGTAAGCACGAAATCTCAAAATCGACTTTTCTCCCGACACTGCCTCTAGCGGGTTTTTGATAGGGGACAGGGTGTCAAATTTTGAATGGATAGACGGGGGGCACGCACTACATACCAGTGTAAAAGCTTCTCAAGCACGTACTACTTACTCGTTTGCTCACTCATTACTATCGTAGAGTGCTTGTCGGAATACTAACCTTCTTCGTCTGCAATTGCCGTGCCATTTCTCTCTTCACTGTGGCTTGCCTAGCTCATTCAAGACTGCAGCTGCTACATATGTTCACACTGACTTCAAAGCTATCTCCCTGATGTTTCTAACATCAGTCGGCCTTGAGAAAAAATTACGCTGTTGCTCAAACTGAATTTGATTTCGCTTGTACGAAGGGTTGGCGAAGTATAGGAAATATTGTTCACACCAGTAGAAAGAGTTCTATTCTAGAGTTTCTTCGTTCCCTTTTATTGTCAGTTTCTTTGTAGATTGATTCAAAATTTTCGACTACCACGTCGCTGAACTCTGTTATCAGTTTGTACAATAATGTGAAGGTTTTGTTAGAGCCAGAGTCTTCCATCGAAGTGGAGATGAGAATTGTTGCATTGTTTATTATCGCTCCACAAGACTAAAACATAGTTTAGAGGCGAGCTTTGCGAGATCGATGACGGAAAACACGGCGATGTCTATATTCCATGCCGTTGTCAGGCTGAAAAATTGATTATGCAGATTACCTGATGCGGACATAGCGAGAACTGAGATGAAACTCACCATTACTGGAGCATTGCTGCTGGGTCCATAAGTGCTGCCGGGGACAAGTGTTGCGTATGAAGATGGGGTTGGGGAAGTTCCGTAACTGCCTTGCACAGGAGGGGATGAGGCTGGAGGTGGAGATGCGTAGCTGCCTCGAACAGGTGCAGGCGGTGATGGCGGTGGTGGTGGGGGAGGTGGAGGAGGAGAAGCGGGAGCTACTGGGGCTGCAGCGTCAGAGTTGTAGGCTTGCTGATCTCCACCGCTGGCGCTGATTGGGGCTGGAGCAGGCTGAACTTGCTCGGCGTTCTCATAGCCAGAGTTCTGTACTTGGCCGTGGGCCAATACTGCTACAGTGGAGAGGAAGACAGCTACGCAATGCATCTGTAAACAATTTTGTGGAAAACTGGAAGTGAAAGATAATAGAGTAGCGTATGTGCGTCGCCAAAATGAGGGAAGGCAAGAAAAACTGGGTAGCTTTGCAGCGAAGTGTGGTGGAGATCTCTGCAGACTTCTTTTATATGCTGCGGAGCTTTACAGTTTTACCATTCATTCGATCCAGTAAGTATTTATAGGGTGCGCAATAAACACCCATTGTCTGTTTTGTAGCTCTCGATGCTCTTACCAAGCGATTCACACTTCCAGCATATGCTGGCACTGGCGAGATACGGATAGCATTTGGTTGGTTCAAGGAGCTGCGACTCTTGTGACATTCACTCTCAAAAAATGAGGCAAATTATCTGAATAAAAAGAGCAATTAGAGCGCTTTTTTGAAGACAATAGAGAGCCTCTCCGTTGGTTTCAAAATTCGCAAATTTCAACACACAAATCAATGCATGGCATAGATAATACCTGAAGAGAGAACGATGCTGGAGTTTTTAGAGAAGGATAAAATTATCACTGCTAAGAATTGCCCATACAGTGTAGGCAAACAGGCCAGTTTGTCTTGTTACTACCTAGGATTGGCTTCGGTTTCTGTCGAAAACTATTATAAAAATACATATTTCTGTGTCTCTGTCCCTTCTGGACGTCCCTGCCCTATGTGTATATTCGTAGTCACAGTTACCCCTTGTAGTACCAATTCGCGATTGTTACTGCGCACCGTATAAATGCTAGTTGAATCGAATGAGTAATAAAACTGTTCAAATGTGTAGCATATAAGAAGGTCTGCAGAGAGCGTCACCACACCACCACAAAGCTAGTCAGCTCTTCTTAGCTTATCTCAATTTTGGCGACGCATATACGTTAACTTTTCATTTTCATTTCTTCTTTATGACAAAGTTGATTACAGATGCGTTGCGTAGTAGTCGTTCTCGCCGCTGTTGCAGTATTGGCCTACGGTCAAGTGCAGAACTCTGGCTATGAAAACGCTGAGCAAGTTCAACCTGCACCAGCTCCAATCAGCGCCAATGGTGGAGATCAGCAAGCTTACAACTCTGATGCTGCTGCCCCAGTAGCTCCCGCATCTCCCCTTCCACCTCCTCCACCACCACCGCCATCACCACCTGCACCCGTCCAAGGCAGCTACGCATCTCCACCTCCATCTTCATATCCTCCTATGCAAGGTAGTTACGGAACCTCCCCACCTCCATCTTCTTATCCAACACTTGTCCCCGGCAGCACTTATGGACCCAGCAGCAATGCTCCAGTAATGGTGGGTATCAGCTCAGTTCTTTGCTATGTCCGCATCAAGTGATCGGCATATCCAATTTTTTTTCAGCCTGGCAACGATATGGGATACAGACGTCGCGTGTTTTCCGTCACCGTGCTCGCAAAGCCCGTTTCTGAAATAGTTATCATAAACGATGCGATAATAAACAGTAATCAAGTGCTCGTTTTCATTTGGCGAGGGAAGACAGTGATACTTGAGAAAATCACCCAACACTGTATTACAGCTTGATCACAGAGTCTAGAACGTAGTGCACGGTAGTCGAAAACCTTGAAAAAGCCCGGAAAATAAACTGAAATTGGAAGAGGACGAGGAAATTCTGAATAAGATTTCTTCTAAGAGAGCAAAGATGCTTGGTATACAAGGTATTGCGTAGGCGAATTCAAATGTTACATGAGTATAGAGAGCGTAATTTTCTTGAGAACTGACTGATGTAAGAGTCAGCAAGCATAGCCTAAATTCAGCGTGAACGTTACATAGGAGCTGCGTTTGTTATGAAAAGCGTATATTTCCAAATATGTAAATCGAATTCATTTTGTCGCTTTTCCGCTTATCTAGATTTCTGCGAACAGAAGCACTTGAGCGATCATATTGAGTTTGCTAGTTGAATCTATGGTAAAAGACTCTTATCCCGTTGTTGTTGAGTGTCTTTACTGCATTTTCTTGAACGAGCCAGTCACAGTGAAGAAAGATTTGAGTTCTTCCCCACCTTCAACTTCATACCCCACTTCTATGAAAGGCAGTAATGGTACTTCCGCTCTTCTGCCGCCCGTTTCTGGCGATACTTATGGAATCAATAGTGACACCCCGGTGTTAGTGAGTCTTCGCTCATTTTTTCTGCCATCACACATCAAATTCAATCACTCGATTATTTTGGACTAGCAGAATACAGGAAAATTTTTTGACGGTTTTCCTTCATGTCTTCTCAGTGCTCATCTTTGCAAAAAATTCTAACAAACTATGTGATGTTTAATTAATGCAAGATCCAAGCATTTGTTTGTGTTTGACGAAAGAAAATTTTGGGGCTCAGAAAGCCACAGTGTGATTAACTACAGAACTACTTTATATCGTTCTGCAGTTAATCATAGTTTATGAACAAAATGCAAGCTGCCAGGAACAGATGTTGAAACAAAATAGGCGGAAGTACAGAGAATTCGTAATCAGTTCCATGTGAATCACATACGTTCTTTGCAAGCCATAACACACTAATTATGCAACAAGTCCAGTGCTTGTCTCAGTAATTGAGGGAAAATCGTGGCAAGAGTAAATCCTACCAGAGTTGTGGTTGGCTGATTCTATCGGGCGGGTTCCTCTCCCTAAACAGCCTTTTCCGAAATGATTAGAAGGGAGACTCGCCTTCCTTCGCTTCCCTTCCCCCTTCTCCTCTATCACCGATTTTTGATAAATTGTGTAAGAGTTCGTGAGTATTTTTCAGTTCAGTCTTTCCTTCGCATTATGCAAATGGTATGATGCAATGGCGGTCCCAGGGTTCCTGTTAGGAAGGGGGGGGGGGAGGGGAGGAGGAGATAATAGATTTTTTTTCGAACAAAGCGTTTTGGTGCTTCTCAAGATTTTTTGTTGGCCGCCCCCGAAATTTTTTTCGCATGACTAAATTGAATTTACAGAATATTCTACATATTATTACATTTTAGCCATTTACAGGTACGACCAAGTCACTTGCACATTCTATAACTCATGTAAGTAACTTTGGGCCTCCCCTCCACCCTCGCAGTGGCGGTCCCAGGTTTCCGTACGGGGTGGGGGCGCGGAAAATTTTTTTTCGAATGATGGCGCGTGACTTTAGCCACGCACTCCGAAAAATTTTGAAGGGTGTTTCTTAAAACTTTTTCGGGCCCAAGACTACTAAAATCTAGAAATAGGGGGTGTGGCGTCAGTCAGCCACGCCCCCGAAAACAATTTCTTTACAAGGCTAATTTGAATTGAAAATTTTTAAAAATCATTTAATCATTCATAGAAATAAACAGGTCATTTGCACATTTTTATAACCCATGTAGGTAAATTTCAAACATTTCCCGACCCATTCTCGTCTCCCCCCCCCCCTCCCCTTAGCCCTCCCCCTCTTAGTCCGCAGGAGGAGGCTTGAAGACATTCAATTTTCTAAAAGAATGTGCGGAGAAAGACTGCATGGATTCTATTTCGATGCACTTGACAAGAGTAAAACAAGGGCCCCACTATTTATACAGTTGATGTTAATGTTTCTGTTATCGTCTTTTCAAAAGACGTTTGACTTTATGGAAATTTCGTCGAGTGAGGTTTTTTCTTCTGATTACTTCCCTCTAGTCGAACTGTAATTACCAGGGCCAGGTATGTGAGATTTTTATTGCCAGAGAACACGAAAAAGTGCGTTTTATTTTTGATGAGATTTCAGAAGCTCAAAGCTTTGAGGAGATATGCATCTCGTCTTGAATTCATGCATTAATAGCTTGGGCTTCTCAACTTTATTATCTTGAAATAGAATCAAAACATGAATGTTGGAGGTCAAAGACCCATTCACAAAACTTGCGAGAGCGGACCCTTCCCCTTGGAGTACGACTTCCTCTATGAGGTGCTCAAAGAGAAAAAAGTGATTAAGATGAAGAACAAAACAGAATCGAAAAAGAATACTAAATACGCAACAAAAACGTGTGATGCTCGCGTTCTAAATTAGTATTATTAGTATTATTAAATAAATATTAAATAAATAAAGTATTAAGTATTAATAAAGTAAATATTAGTATTATTAACAAAAAAATTATTATATAAAAAATCCTTTGCTATAATTTTGAGGCTTCCTTGGGAACTACCGACGAGGAGCACCAAGGAAGCTGCACTACCGGTATAGTTCTTAGCGCCGAAACCGGATAATGTTCAAAAACTCAGAAAAAATTGTAAGATTTTTTGTTTGCGTTTAGCATTTGATTCATCAAATGCACAAAACATTCTTGTTATTAGGTTATTGTGTGAGGAAAAAAGCGGATTATGACTTTATTTTTTCTGAGCCACCATAGGTGGCTTGCCAGCTCGGGCCACCTAAATGTAATTTTCCCACGTCTTCAACTACATACATAGCTTTCAACATTTTGCATAACTTATTGCTCGTACAAACGTCTCGCGCACAAGCACGTATTACATCATCACCTCGAAATGGATAAAAGGCTCGTTCTAAACAAGCCTTTTATCTATTTCAAGCACATTGGAGATCGAAGTATTAGTTGTTGTTTGGAGATGTTTGATTGATGGGATTGGAGTTCTGACTAGCCTTCCCAAGAGTCAAACGTTACTACTTCAGGCGATATGTTGTTCAGCCCAGAGTCTTTTGTTGTCAAATGGCAATAGTAACTCGGTTATTGCATAGTTTATTAACGCTTCATAAGACATAGCTTAGAGACGAGCTTTGCGAGATCGATGACGGAAAAGACGGCGGTGTCTGTATCCCATGCCGTTGCCAGTCTGAAAAAATCGGATATGTAGACCAAATGCGGAGAAGAGAAAAACTGAGATAAAACCCACCATTACTGGAGCATTGCTGCTGGGTCCGTAAGTGCTGCTAGGGACAAGTGTTGGGTAAGAAGATGGAGGTGGGGACGTTCCGTAACTGCCCTGCATAGGAGGGTATGAAGGTGGAGGTGAAGATGCGTAGCTGCTTTGGACGGGTGCGGGTGGTGGTGGTGGAGGAGGTGGAGGAGGTGGTGGAGAAGCGGGAGCCACTGGGGCAGCAGCGTCAGAGTTATAGGCTTGCTGATCTCCACCATTGGCGCTGATCGGCGCTGGAGCAGGCTGAACTTGCTCGGCGTTCTCATAGCCAGAGTTCTGCACTTGGCCGTAGGCCAATACTGCAACAGCGGCGAGGAGGAGGGCTACGCAACGCATCTGTAAGCAACCTTTCGTAAAGTAGAAATGAAAGTGAAAATTAGCGTATATGCGTTGCTAAAACCGAGATAAGCTAGAAAGAACTGACTAGCTTTGTAGGGAATGTGGTGACAACCTCTGCAGACTTTCTTTATTTGCTGTAGGTTTGAACAGTTTTACTACTCATTCGATCCAGTATGTATTTATAGGGTGCGCAATAACATATGGGGGGGGGGGGGAGGTGGGAAGCAACGTGTTCATTACGACGCAGTGGGTGCAATGACGTACAGAAGTGGGACAGAAGATTTTGTAGTAATGAGGGAGATGATCAATTCATTGACTAGGCAACGATCGGGTATGCGAGCTGTAGAAAAGAGATAAACTCGCTTGGTGAGGCTGTCTTTTCAAAATACTCCAACATCGTTTTCTATCCAGGTATTATCCATGCCATGCAATGGTCCGAGTATTGAGGTTCATGCAAATGCCATCAGCAGGAAGGTTTGAAATGCAGACTTGGCGTTCGTTATTGAAGTTCGACTGAATTTTTGCACACTCATTCCATTCCCTTCAAACGATGTATCTAATTCTTCCTTTTTCGCGAATGGGTCTCATTTCATTTTTGAAGGTGAAGGTCACCGGAGTTGCAGTTCTTTGCAACTAACCATATATTAAGTATCTCACCAGTGTCAACACATTCTAAAAGCATGGACTGCTTGTTAAGAGCATGCAAGGGTAAAAAACAGACAATAGGGGTTCAATGCGCACCATAAAAATACTTACTGGATCGAATGAGTAGTAAAACTCTGAAACTCTGTAGCCTATAAAGAGCGTCTGCACAGGTCTCCACCTTAGTTCGCCGCAAAGTTACCCAGTTCTTCTTGCTTTCAATCTTTGGCAACGCACATACGCTACTCTTTCATCTTTCACTTCTAATTTTGGCTTAGTTGTTTACAGATGCATTGCGTAGCTGTCTTCCTCTCCACTGTAGCAGTATTAGCCTACGGCCAAGTGCAGAACTCCGGCTATGAGAACGCCGAGCAAGTTCAGCCTGCACCAGCCCCAATGAGCGCTGATGGTGGAGATCAACAAGCCTACAACTCTGATGCTGCTGCCCCAGTAGCTCCCGCTTCTCCTCCACCACCTCCTCCCCCACCGCCACCATCACCACCCGCACCCGTCCGAGGCAGCTACGCATCTCCACCTCCACCTTCGTACCCTACTATGCAAAGCAGTTACGGAACTTCCCCTTTCCCAACACCTCTTCCTCTTAACACTGACGGACCTACAAGTGATACTCCAGCATTAGTGAGTTTAAGCTTTTGCCAATTCAGCATCGAATTTTGTTAATCGATTCCTTAAGGCTGGCAACGGCATCGGATACAGAAAATACCGTGTTTTCCGTCATCGTCTTCGCAGTGCTCGTCACTGAAACAATACTTTACAAACGATGCTTTGCTATTGAAATAAAATAATGCACTAATCGAATTTTTCATTTGTTCTCGACGAAAGAAGTTTTGGCCCCTGTGAAGTCATAGTCTTCATTGTTCTGCATCAAACAACTTTGTCTACAAATAGTAGAGTGCTCTAAGGCATTTGTGACACTCATCTACATTTTAAAACTGGTTGCTGCGGGCAATTATGAACTTTGAATAGTAACAAAACAACAGAAGGAGTCAAACCACCAATAATATTATTGTTGCAAACCGTGAATGGACATCAAATAAAAGGTAAGTGCTACCACGGCTTAAAGATAGGAGATTCAGTTCAAAGTACAGGGCTTTTTCATTATTCCCTTTCCATAATCAGCACATAAGCTCGTCTCTCCTAGTTCGGTATCTAAAAGAATTTACGCTCTATCACTGTGTATGCAGCTTATGTCACTCTACGTTTTGGCTAATTATAGACCAACACATGTGATCCATTAGTCTTGAAGGTACATTGTTTTTCCGGTCTTTAGACGTTTCTACAGAGTAAGTAGAAATTCGCACACCAAGCAATTCTGACTTGAAAGCACCTTCGAATGGTGTACTACAACAAGGAGCTGAGTACGGTGTTGCAAAAAAAGCTATAGATGCAAAAAAGGTTAAGATTATCCATTATTTTAGTTATTCTAATGCTTTCTCAACAAACGAGTGATAGCAGCAAATTTAGGGTTTGTGGAAATAGGATTCAAAAATTACGGGTGTAAAATCTACCAGACCGCCTGCTGTGTTTGATTGCTTAAACAGGGAACGATACTTGGTGACCCCAGGTATTCATAATGGTTTGTATATCAATAAATGCGCCTTTCAATGCTGGTTCGAGTACTTTTCCATATCTGCGAGACGAGAACTTGCATGAAGTTATAATTATTTTTCAAGAATGAATTGCGCTACTGCGGAGGGTGAAAATCATTAATAAAAGTTTTTCTTTTCTTTTCAAATGCTGAATATGATTTAGATAGGTATAAATATAACGTTACACCTTTCAAGATTCTCCTCAATAGCTTCAAACGGTAAAATAGATCAAATTTGGTGATTTTAACTACCTAAAAGTACGCAAATCTTCAATGAAAAAAGTCATAACTGCCTTTATATGACCGTTCCGCAAATTTCGAGCACAGATTCAAAATCACCGTTTCGAGGTGCACCTTATGGTATACATCGCATTCCAAATGGCAGGGGTCACCAAGTATCCTTTCTTTGAGTAGGAAGCATAGGATATTTTAGCAGCAGACATAACAATCGTTTTATCAATGATATAATGCATTTGCAGTGCATTTTTATTACTGAGAAAAGGTCGGACTCTCGTCTTTTCCTCTTCTTCTTTAACACATTGAATACCATGCAAATGTTTAGTTGTCTGCCCTCTGGGACCAAGCCGACCAGCCCAGATTTTTCAACTATATTATGCATACTGCCATCTACAAGTGTGGTAATCTTTGATGCATTCAATAGCATATCACTCAGTTCAAATGTGGCCCCACAACACTCCATTCTGAGCAAATGCAAAAGTTCGAGCTCTCGTAAGGACCGCCCTGTTGCTTCTCTTAGATTCTGGACCTGTGACCACCCTTATAAAGATTTTTTCGGAAGCTAATCATTAAAGTCGGACGAATGCTCCAAACAAGAATTTTTGTGTACAGATGGTGGTCGTTTTCTACATAACTTCGCAGATGACACATTAAGAGATTCAGCTGACATTATCTCTACTTGAAGTCATCACAATTCACTGAAATAAGGAGCTGAGACGCAAGACCGTTGAGATTGGGTCTGGGCTTGTTCTCTTATATCATAACGTACTTGAGCTTCTCTTTTATTGAGGCGGGAGGTTAATGGGTTGTTTGTAAAAGATGTATCACATAAAGGAAGTAGCGTGAGTGGGGCTATGAAATTCTAAGAGTTGATAATTTGGCAGAAACTTAAGAAATTGCTATAGAAAAGGGGTGGAAGGGGTGAAGTTTTACCTTTCTGACAGGAATTGAAGTACGAATGAAGACTGTGAAGTTTGCAGCCAAGAAAAAAATATAACAGAAGCACAATAAAATAGACCTATTTGGAGGGGTACGCGCAGATATAAAGTATGATTAAACGATGCGACTAACTTTTGTCAATACCATCACATCATAACATTCCGCAACCCTGCTGCTTTAGCCCTAGTTGCAAACATCTAGGTGAAAGCTGATTTTCTACTTGGAAGGTAGACGTCACACGACAGTGGCAGAGCTGTTTAACAGCTTGCTAATTAGCCTACTAAATACCATCGAAAACGATATCACTGGACTTCTTCGTTCAAGATAGCCGACGTAAATCCCTATTTAGTGTGGCGGCTCTTGGTTCGAGAAAATGGCGTGAGAATGCACAGATTTGAGCTTGTGAAACTTACCCCCAAAATTAGCTTGAGGAATAACATGTACAACAAGGCGCATCTATTCATACGACAGAAATCTCGATAAATGCGTGGACGACCAAATGCATTCAAACAACATCCTCATGAAAATACTATGGCTATACTACTGCTCTGTAACTTCCACACTAGCGCTGAAACAGTGTTTGCGATTCCTAACACCAGCTCAGATAATCGCCGGGGGCAAGCGGCCATGCGAATTTGGAGCAAGCGGGCACCGGAAAAATAGTTCGCTGAATTGTCGTAGCCCGCACGTCGATGTCCGGGTCTCCGCGCGCGATTTCACTCGGAAACTGTTCAGAACAATCGCTGTTACTTTGTCAAATTTTTGCAGAGCGCTCGCTTAGTGGTTGGTCTCCGCTGACTCCTTACCATCGCCCGCTCGCAGCCTTTTCGATGCGAAAACTCCGTTTTATTGTGAGAATTTGAATGACAATTGGCAGCGCGACTGATTCGCGCTCGCTAATTTTTCGTAGATTGGCTGATGATTGTGGCTGCGAAAACAGCTCCCATTTCGGCGTAATGGCATCTGCACACCAACAATACACATTTGATGAAAAAATTTACTGATGCTATCAAATAAAACCAAAAATCCCTATAGATAAACCAGACAACCAGACAAGACAGTTTGCTCCTGTTTTTATTATTAGTACGTTTGAAGCATTTGCCAGAAATCTCAAGACAGTACACAGGAAATGCGGACCATAGTCGATTAACTTCAATGGGAAACCGTCTTCTGAGGCGCTGCGATACCGATCGGTTGATGAGGCTCGAACTAGAAGAAAATGAATATTTCTTTTTAGCATTCCATCACCTTCGTAGTCAACCTGCAAATTGGTCCGATGTCAATTTCTTCATACCGTCGCTTAGACAAAGTCGTCGACGCTACACTTGTGAGCGGGAAACGATGCCATGTATAGTTGACTGGCGTATGCCTAAGGCACAGATTATGACGGTTAATATTGCCAGTAAAGCACCAAAAGCAAAATTTTGAGATTTTTTTTCAGATGAAATGCAGAAGAAACCGATAGAAAATAAATCTGAAAGTTCAATTGAAGCTGTCAGAGAAAGTACTTCAGAATTATTCTGGCAGCCATTTTCTTGCCTAGCAAACGCTGTAAAATGTGGCCAGTGTCTGGCTCTTATTAGCTGTTCTAGCTAAACTAAATACCTTTTGGCAATCTTTCTGTGACAAGTTTGAGAGGAGAAGTTCATGATTCCAGTGATAGTCGAACAGATGTGTCTTCAGTTCCCAGTAATCTCGCTGCTCACAAACACGGCATTCCGCGTCTCGAAATTTTCGTATGATATCTTTCGGTGACCGTGAACATTGACTACACAGCTTTATCTTATACAAATTCTCGCGCTTTGAAGATCTTGAAGATCGCTTGTTGAAAATTAGCTTATCGCACGAGCGTTTGCATCATACCGCTCGTTCTATAAGGCATAGCCAATTGCTGAAACTTCGCTTGCCGCCCACAACGTTGCAGAAGATAACCGCTTGCTAGATAAACGACAGCCGCACATTGGGGTTTTGCCTCCGCCCGTAAATATGTGATGAGCGCTTGCCCAAACTTGCAACATCTGTGCCCGCCTGATAATATTCGCTAAATAATTGAGGTCCGCTCGCTGAAGGTTTGGCCGCGCTCTGAAATTTTGCTGACCGCTTGAAGAAAAGCGCGAGTTTGCGGACCGCTTGCCCCCGGCGATTGTCTGAGAGGCTTGCAGGGAACTCACGTCTCTGTGCTTCTACTCAATCTAGTTTCGTCAACATATACTCCAAAAAATAACTCTATTTCCTACATTTTTTGTGTTTTATTTTGCTTATGCTCAAAAGTTCAACGTACTCTACCTTTTGTTTGTAGCTACTGTTACATTCATTTTGTTTCTGTTTTAGCCAGAACTTCCCTTGCCAAATGGAAATCGGAACTAATGGTGCACTGTTTATTATTGCATCATTTATAAGATATTGTTTCAGAGACGAGCTTTGCGAGCACGATGGCGGAAAAGACGGCGAATTCTGTATCCCAAGCCGTTGCCAGTCTGGAAATGTTGAGTATGTGGGTCGCTTGGTGCAAATTTGGCGGAAGCTAGGACTCACCATTGGTGTAACACTTGCGGGTCCATAAGTGCTGCTTGGGACAATTGTAGGGTACGAAGGTGAAGGTGGAGAGGTTCCGTAACTTCCTTGCATAGGAGGATATGAAGCTGGAGGTGGAGATGCGTAGCTGCCTCGGACGGGTGCGGGTGGTGATGGTGGCGGTGGGGGAGGAGGTGGTGGAGGAGAAGCGGGAGCTACTGGGGCGGCAGCATCAGAGTTGTAGGCTTGTTGATCTCCACCATCGGCGCTCACTGGGGCTGGAGCAGGCTGAACTTGCTCGGCGTTCTCATAGCCAGAGTTCTGCACTTGGCCGTAGGCCAATACTGCAACAGCGGCGAGGAAGACTGCTACGCAACGCATCTGCAATCAGCTTTTTAATAAAAGTGAAAACAAAAAAAAGCGTTGCCAAGATTGAGTTAGGCTTAGAGGAGCAGCTCAATAGCTGAATTGTGGTTAAAGTCTCTGCAGATTCTTTTTATATGCTGTAGAGTTGGACAGTTTTACTACTGATTCGATCCATCAATTCATAGGGTGCGCAATAAACACAATTGTGTGTTTTATAACCTTGCATGCTAAGGTTAGAATTCAGACTATCTTTCTTACCTAACATCTGAGGCTTCTAGCACTGACAGTGGTAATGCACAGATGACATGGATGTACAGAACCATGACTCTAGTGATATTCAGGAGCGGGAACCAGTCACATGTCCTTCGTTTAACGATGCTTGAAGGCGATAGAATGCTTTTTCAATTGCATTGTGGTTACGAACCATCGATGCACTCTGGGATTCTTTACTGCTGTGTTTATTTATTTTTTTATCTATTTAATATTCACAAGGCGTCCTACATTTCGGACAAAGAAAACGAATCGTACTCAGAACCTGAACAGTGATAACAAACAATCAAAAAAAAAATTGACCAACAGATCAAGTCCGGCTCCCAGATGTATTAAGAATGAAGGGGGTTAAGCTTGTTGGGACTATGTACGAATATATCAGTGAGAAGCTCTGTCTCATGCCCCTGCTTGTAGCAAAAGTGCTTTTAGATTACTCAACTTAAGTAATTGTATTTGATGGGACCGTATGTGTTGATAAATATGTCCGACTTTTTGGGAAAGCATCAACAGCATCTGTTGTGTTATTTGTAAACTATCAAGATGCTGAATACTGCATGGCATGAATGGTACCAGAATTGACTATGATGCTAGGAACATTGAATATTAAAGAAACAGGAAACACTCACAAAATTGCACGCTAAGCCAAAGAGAAACATGTGGACTACCTTATTAGGAGAGTTTCTTAGTTTACAGCTCTTGTTACTTTTCCAACAGAGGTTAACGGTAATGACGGCAACTTGTATATCTGTTCAGAGCTCTATTGACCTAATACACTTGCCAATGCGCAAAACTCATTTGGTGGATTGAGAAAATTTGGGTCTAAAGATTTTAATTGTTTTTCTTGATGCTATTCTTCCGATGGTTCAATTCAAATCGCTCTTGCCTATAACGTGGAGAGCGTAGCCCTTTCCTGCGCATATGACCGCTACCTCCCAAGAATGCGATTGTTTTTGTAATACAACATTCTGCATTTTGAGAGTTTAACAGCAGTAAAGTTTCCAGATAACAATTCCAAAGGCTCGTAAGCAAATTTCAGTCGACTTACATGCACTTTACCATCTACCTTTTTGAATAGGCATTTTATGAAGAAGTGACGATGTGATTCATTCTGACTCCAGGAATGAAAATCGCAGGGTCGTGGCTGTATACATCCAGGTTATCTGTGCATTACCATTACCGACACATGCTAGAAGCATTAGGTGTTTGGTAAGAAAGGTTATTTGGATTCTAACCATGGCGTGCAAGGTTAGAATTCAAACAACTGTGTTTATTGCGCACCCTATAAACACTTAATGAATCGAATCAGTAATAAAACTGTTCAACTCTGTAGTATATAAAGATATTCTGCAGAAATCTTAACACAACTCGCCGCAAAGTATCAGGCTCTTTCTACTCTTATCTCAGTTTTGGCAAAGCATCTACTCTGTTCTCTTATTTCTTTCTGTTTTATCACAAAATTTATTATAGATGCGTTGCGTAGCCGTCCTCCTCGCCGGTATTGCAGTATTGGCCTATGGCCAAGTGCAGAACTCTGGCTACGAAAACGCCGAGCAAGTTCAACCTGCTCCAGCCCCAATGAGCGCCGATGGTGGAGATCAACAAGCCTACAACTCTGATGCTGCTGCCCCAGTAGCTCCAGTTTCTCCTCCACCACCGCCATCTCCACCCGCACCTGTCCGAGGCAGTTACGCATCTCCACCCCCTCCACCTCCAGCCTCATACCCTCCTATGCAAGGCAGTTACGGAACTTCCCCACCTCCATCTTCTTACCCAACCCTTGTCCCTGGCAGCACTTATGGACCCAGCAGCGATGCTCCAGTAATGGTGACTTCAGCTTAGTTCTTCACTAGGGTTTTATCATGCAATTTTTAGGCTGGCAACGACGTGGGATACAGACGTCGCCGTGTTTTCCGTCACCGCGCTCGTAAAGCTCGTTTCTGAACTCTGTCATAAATGATAATAAACAATGCAACAATTTATCATTTCTGTTTCTACAAGAGAAGATTCGGAAGCAGACACTCATTACATGATATAGTTGCACAAGATGTTCACATATTTTGAATTAGAGAGCGGAGTAGCCGATTCTTTGAGCAGAACCATATAACATAAGCTTGTGCTATTGAATCGAGAAGACTGCAAATATAGCCTTTTTACGGGAGTATAGAATTTGTACTGCGCTAGCCGTAAGCATAAGCGAAATCAATTGCAATATGAGCATGAGAAGTACAGTCGAGTAAAATTTCAATTTCCGCTTAATATGGTGTGCTTGCACTGTAAGTGAGATGCGGTAAAAGTTGCGCGTGAAGAAATAGCTACGCCTGTGACACCTTCCACTTGCGTGTGCAGAATGCCGGCATAATTGGCGTGCCTAATTTTTTAAGCACAAATTTTACCGCATTTCACCTACACTGCAAGCACACTATATTAAGCGGAAAATCTACTCGACTGTATGTTTTTTTATGGAAATTGCTGATTTGAAACCAGCAGGCATTGGTTTAAATAATGTAAGAGAGCACCTCTAAAGCTCTATTATACGTATTTTCTTGAGGGGTTGAATTCATTTTGCCATTTTTGTCACGAGCTGAGTTGAGTATTATTGAGTAGTAATTGAGTTGATTTCCGAATTTTTGCAAGCTGAGCGGAATACGCACAAGCTACGTAATTTTACGCCATTTTCTTATTTACACTAGAGCCACATTGAAGAAAAGTTTGTGTACACTGTTCTGAAGAGGAAAGTCTGGTGTCTCCTCAAACTTTGAGAATCAGTCTCTGTTATTTTGGTTAGAAACCAGGAAACATACGTTGTACCAAATTTGGTTATAAAAAGCGCTACCAATGCGATATAGCAACTTATTTACCTTCATTATCACATTTACAAAATATAGCCACTTAAATGTATCTTAATTTTCTAGAAATTTTTTACAAATGATGTCTTTGAACTAATGATAAAACCTTCACACCAGGATCTCAATCCTCTAATCGAGAAAAAGTTCCTCTACTCTTCTTTGACACGGAAAAATGAGCCTGACAGAGCAGTGCTGTTTTTAATTCCGGAAATATGTAAAAGACACCACCAAGACAACCCACCATTGAGGAAGTTTCCTTGTAGCCAGCTTGTAAAATTACATTTTGAAACAACCCAGAAATTATTTTTAAAGACAGCAAATTCTTTTTGAGTGGTTTTTCTGCGACATATAAGAACCACATCAGCTCAAAGGTATTAATTGTTGAGCAGAGGACTTCACAAATAAAGCTGCAATAACTTTCCTCTCCACCATCTACCACATGTAGTCACAGCAGAAGAACCTATTCGATGGAAATTGTTGCCTCGAATGTTTGCTTTTTGGATTTTCACGATAGTCTCCTAGCAGCTATCGTGCACTGAAGAGGAGAAATCAAGAGTTTCTCTAACGAAAATGCAGGCTTCTTCCAACCGTTTATAAGGTTTCTGAAAGCAGATTGAGTAACACGAATTTGCCACTATTGTGGCAATTGGTTTTGGAAGCTCGACGTCGCTGAAAACACTTTACTTGGGACTAAAATCGTTCAACGTTGAACCTCTGATCCCACCTCATCCGCTGTAATGCGGTCTGGTCGGGTACCAATTGAATAGAGGAACTGGTTTTACATGAAAGAGATTTTCAAAGACGAATCTCAGCTGATAAAAAAAGTTAGTTAAAAAGCTAGAAGAAACAGCTAAAAATAGTTAAAAATAGTTCTGCGCACTTGTCAGAATGTTGCCAACAGCTTAGCATGGTAAAGACTTAGGGATTGTCCACAGCGAGAGAGTAAAGGACTTCAAAACAAAGGCGCCAAACTCTTGCAAACTTGCATCAGAAGAAAAAACGAAAAATGGAGACGAAGGCGAGCAAAGAAAAATTGAACATGGCTAGCTTTTTGACTTTGGCCGTATACTTCAGCTTTTCAAGAAAACCATATTACACCGACTAGATGAGTTAAGGGAAGCAAATATCGTTCAAAACGATAAAAATTCTTCAAACCAGAGCCTTTCATGCCGAAAGGTAAGAAGAAATACCTTTCTTATCGTTAGAAAAATCTCAAAAAAGTGAGTCACTCCATGAAAATTCATGCTTTTTTAAATTTCCGCTTCGGACCCTGCATGAAAACATTTTGTTTCTTCCCCAAAAACGATATCCAGCTTGCCCCTTAACCAATCTGTACCGAGTTTTAGCTACATTAAGATGGGCGATTTACCTCATTGCTATCAAGAAAGACCATCTCTAATGAAAGCTCTTAGTTTATTAAACAGGTTCACTTACCCGGAGCGGAAAGAAACAAAAATAAGGAACAAAACAAATTCAAGGAAGAGCACTTTTTGGCACCCTGTACATCACTCCATCGAGAATAAGAAAAGAGGAGGCTCTCTGTCTCAAAGCTTCACAATTTCTCTTTGACGTGACGAAGGCGCGTTTTGAGTAATTCATAGTACGCGATATTCTAGTCGTTGACCCTTAGAGGCAGTGTCTCAGCAGAACAGAGGTTGCGCGGTCTCTGCGTGTTCTACTACAGGGTCCAACAGGTAGGGCTATTGCAAAAGATCCAACTTGATTTGTCTCCTTCTAAGCTGAGCAAAATGAGCTCAAAGTGGTCCGCAACGAGCAATATAGTCCTCACACAACTGACCGGAACTCCGGCAGAACGTTTGGAAAAGTTCCGCCGGGTCACATGCGGGAGTTCTGTGGACGTACTGCGGAAGTTCCGGAGAATGCGAACCACAACATCAAAAGAGAACACTAAAAGAGATTCGAACCTTGCTCTATTGACTGTGAGTCACTTAGTCCTCTGCACTGCCGATGACATATTGACAATGTACTAAAAACCTGCGGAAATACTAACATATTAGGGTGTCTTTTGTAAGTTTCGCTGGGTCGTAAGGAGTCCGTGAAAGCTCCCGTTTTCAACCAGTTTGACGTAAAATCCTGCAGAAGTTCCTACTTTCAGCGTTTCTACTCTGCAATGGTAAACAAAATCCTGCGGAACCGCTGCAGATTTTGCTTGTCCTGCGGAAGTTCCGGTGAACTGTCTGAGAAAGGGCATTTACTTGACTCATGTATCTGCTTATAACATACCTGTGTGCAACCCAGTACCAAGGCTGTAAGCCGTCAAGTTTTAAACAAGCCGAGAGGACAAGGTTGGAAAACAGACACTGGCGTTTATTGCGCACCCATAAATGCTTATTGGATCGAATAAGTGGTAAAACTGTGAACCTCTCCAGCATATAAATAAAGTCTGCAAACTTTTTACTCACATTGGCTGCAAAGCTAGTAGACTCTTCGTTTCATATTTGCTTGTCTTTTTCATTTTTTGTTTCTGAACTGTTTACAGATGCGTTCCGTAATCGTCTTCTTCGCCGTCGTTGCCGCAGTCACCGCTCACCGCCAGCAGAACTCGGGTTATGAAAACGCTGAGGCGGTTCAGCCCGCACCTTCAGCTCCACTTAGTGCTGGAAATGGAGATCAGCAAGCGTACAACTCCGATGCTTCACTAGCTGCTGCTGCTCCCCTGTCACCTGCTCCTCCTCCGCCACCTGCACCAGTCCAAAACTGGCCTCGCCCATGTCCAGCTTCGTACGCTCTTCCCAGCTCCGCCAGTTATGCATCCCCTCCTCAAGCTTCGTATCCTGCACCTGCTCAAAACAGTTATGGAACTTCCCCACCTCCACCTTTAAACCCCGTACCTGCTCCTGGTAGCACTTATGCAGGAGCCGCCAGTGAAATTCCGCCAGTTGTAAGTCACTGCCAAGGTTCCCATCGCACCAGAAATTTAATAATACAATTTTTCAGAACGGTGGCAACGGTATCGGATACAAAAATCGTCGTGTCTTCCAAAATCGTGCACGCAATGTCTAATCGTCTAATATTGTAAGACAATAAATAATTACCGTTCATTTCCTTTTCATCTTGCAAGCAGGAATGCTAGCGTCCTTGAGTCTTAGTTCGAAGACTCATTCCTTTCAATTTCCGTAACAGGAGTTCACACATAATCCGGAAATCACATGGGCGTTTGATGTAAGATAAACTGTTGAAAACAGTGTTTTTATACTTCTTGGAAAATGGGGGTATGCATAGAAATTAATTCTGTATAGATCCTATATATGAGTCGGAAGTAATGGCCGGGTACTATCTCTTAGCAGATAGTCTGATTTTTCTTCTTTTGTCAGCAGCATCACCGTAGGATGCGCAAAAGACCCCGATGTACCGCTACCCGAGTCTTCAAAAATGAGAGAAAAGAGTTAATGATTAATTGAAATAGCATAGAACGGTGTGCTTGATTAGACTTTGCAAGGACATTGAAACACAGTTATAGTGGCATTTTGATTCTTTCAAAATGGATTTGAATGTACAGATGATCATGAAATTCAATCCGACAGAAATTCACTTATTTATTTACCAAAGAAAAGTCCACCTCTCAAGAACATCGTGCAATGTTAACTAGTAAATGTCATTATCCGTTATGGAATGTCATTTCTGACTGTAAGTATTTGTGAAGTATTTGTCGTAAGCTCTTGAATTTTGCAAGTGTACATGAACTTCTGTAGCCATATGTTCTGTAGCGTTGAAAGAAGATTATCCATTCGTTTATTTCTCCAACGGGCCATTGTTATCACAGAACATTTGGTATGAATACTCGGCTCAAGAAATTGTGAAACATGTCAAAAAAAGAGGGAGACGGTCAAGAGGCGCGATTTCTTCGGCTGTCACCAACTTAAAACTCTAATTTAGTGCTATACGAGTCTTCGAAAATTACCAGATACAGTGCATTAGCTTACTATCTGTCTGAGGTCACCACTTGCTGAGTTTCGTGGTTTTTGCTATGAATCGGACTGAATTATTTACGAATTTGTTCTGAAATGCATTTTCATGAGTTTTTGACCTTCAAAATTGCTGCTTTGAATTTGTTCTACAATATCAAGATTGAACAACTCATGCAACTATCTAATTTATCTTCTCCTAAATTTCTTATACTTCTAGAAAGTTGCAGAACACTTATAATGTGCCATTTGGTGTCCAGCTGGCAATAAAAATCGCGCCTCTTGACATACACCCAAAAAAAGATAGCTTCTACAACGACAATCATATAGATTGTTCTGGAAAAATCAGAATAAAATTACTGAAAACCCCTTTGAATAACATACCGAAAGAGTGTTGTCATCATGTGAAATGTTCAGTCAGCATAGGACCATTGATTTTTTCGAATAATTTTTTAACCGGCACAAGGAAGCAAAGGTTTCAGGATGTTGTCACAAAAAGAGGGGCGGGTGACAAAACATTGAGCTGTGATCAAAAAATAATCTCGAACATAAGACTCAGCAGAATCATTCATGTGCGAATGATGTTAAAATAGCAAGATTTGATGGAGGTTCTTGATTGCTGGACCCTTAGACATAGATGAAGCTAATATGGTATAAAAGAACAAAGGTTCAAGAAAATTCTACTGCAGCATTGCGGAGCACTGGCAGATGCATCTACAATTTTCACGCTTAGCAGGGAAGGTATAGACTTGCAGTGGACTTTCCTTATGAGATGTATATCAGTCGAAAGGTTTTTGAACGCTGACTTCAAAACAATCTTCCTTAACTGCTTGTCGGTTCACTGGACAAAGTTGCAGGCATTTGTCTAGCCTCAAATGACACTGATTTTGGTTGCTTATTGCAGGACGAAGGCGGGTGAGTAGCTCCAATACCGTTCCCATAAATTTTTTTAAATGTAAAACTAGCTGGCTTGCCCGGCTCCGCTCGGCCCTGTCAAAACACTATGATAACTCATCCGTACAACCTTTCCCTGTGCCCACATCTACATGCCATTTCCCTATTCCCGCTGTTTTAGTAATCAGCATGCTTGATTACCCCTGTGCCAACTCCCAGGCCCGTAGGTCGAACCTTGCAAAAAATAAAAAGCGATAAAATTGATATCGACCGATAACGAAAAGTAGCCTACGGCACCCGCCCCGCCCCGAAGTGTGTATCTACCATTGGTCCGGATCGATTCAGAAATAAAAATTTCTATTCGGAACATACGTACATACATACATACAGACAGACAGAACATACATACAGACATTCAGCTTTATATAGATAAATATATCTCGGACATTTGGGCATGTAACTTTGGAGCAAATCCGCATTTATCACGAATTTAGGTCATTTACACAGTACCTGACCATGCAAATTGGAAGCGGAAAAATGCCTCTAACTTTATTCACTAAACCGATAAGCAGATATGAAAGCTTGCCTTGAAAACAGCGCTCAAAGACCTTTCGACTGATATAAACCTCATAGGGAAACTCCACTGCGAGTCATATGCTTGCCTTTCTTAGAGTATTCCTATACTTAGCTAACAATAACCTTTTCAGTGATTAGAAAAGCTCCGAACTGAACTGCTTAGGTCAATGTATCAGCCGTCCTTAGTCTCATAATGGCTAGATTAGTAGATGGTAGATTTTTTTTTCAATCAACTCCTCGCCAAATCCATGTGCTCACGGAGCTCGTACATGGAGTTCTCTCAATAGCTGGTCTCCCAAAAGTTGTTCCAAGTAAAACAACTTGTGTATATATGTCCTTCTTTCACATAATCTCATTACAAGAACGTCTTAGTTGATTTTGCGCATGCTTGGTTTCAGGCTGTGGAAAGGCCATTCTTCAAATAATCTATGGAGGAGAATTTTATTTTGAAAAATTCGACGGATGGTTTGATCTTTGTTTGAGATATTGTGAGCCTATGATTTTCGAATGTTCTGGTGCCAAGAGCGAACTCATGAAAAATATTGAATAAATAAGACTTTCCTGACGAAGAATTAGTGATTCTTGCATCATATCGATATTATTGAGGAGCTTCAAAAGTCATGTACTGAATTTTAACATTTTTTGAAAAGATGAAAACAAAGAAATAGTATGTAAGAATGGGAAGCACTAAACTTTACCAGACGCAAATTTTATCACAGTCGGAAGAGGGCTGAAGCTCTGTTTCACTCTCTATGTTAAACTCTCACTTCCATGCTAAACTAAGCCAATTTTTTGAGCTCAAAATAATGTTTCGAACAGAAAAATCAATCTAGCCGTGGTTAGATCTATTAGACAGAATATTGCATCTCATCCACCACTATACTGAAGTGATTTCAGCCTTGTGTAAACAGTCGCAGCGCCGTCATTGCCCCCGACACAAGATCCTCTGTGTTCCAGTAAGTACTGCTCGATCCGCATGGCTTTGATGCTTCCGAAGAGCATCCGGCTTGCCGAATCCGAGTGCTTTCCGGTTGGATGCGTCGAGTTTCGGCTCGTGATTCACGCTATATCTGCTTTCTCTCTATAGCCAGCTTGTTTTCGGCTAATTTGACGAAGTCTGAAAAAAAGCGCAAGCATCAAATACATGGCTTGATTCGATATGCTGTCTAAAAAATGTGCAATTTTCTCTGTATGGAAGAGCATTTTGTGTATTCAAAGTCAGCCGGCTCTTTATTTTAAGCTTTAAGCTGGTAGCCTTTTGGCTCTCTTCTATGCATTTTTTCTCATCGAAAGTGAATTGCAATAGGAAATTTCAGCAAATTCTCTAAGCCCGAGCGGCATCTTGACGCGGACTCATTCAGAGACACTTCAGAGTGTTTGTTGACCTTCCTCACAGCACTAATCCCTTCGACGAACAGCGTTTATTGTACTCGCAGATTTATCGAAACAATTTACTGACGATTTATCCATTAATTTTTTGCTATGAGCTTTTTTATATTAGGCATACGAAAGTGAGGCGCACATATTTTCCCTGCAAAATTCATTAGCTGAATAAACATCAGATTCTGCTTTGATGTCTCGATATTTTTATATCTTTGAAAACATCTCCCGTTCTATTATCCTTTTTTGATAAATTGAAACCATCTATGCTGCAACTCCTGATCTGGCTCTAATTAATGTGCTTTTCTGACTCATATAGAATCGGATTTCTCTGGCTGTTTATACTACAGTATTGTCGTATAAGACTTCGTGTATGCATGAAGATCTGCGCCTAGAAAACTTGAGCTTTTCAACTTATCAGCGGAAAGCAGTTTCGAAATGACCTTATTCTCATGTAGATTTGGTGCTATTCACAGTGCACAAATGTTTCTAACTAGTGAATTATCGGCTGAGGTCTAAAAGGGCTAGAGATCCCTTTTTTCATGTTTCAACTATTCCTTCCCAAAATCTCAGCGAAAGTTCCAAAACAGAAAGCCTGCATTGTTTGCCTCACTGTCATCTCTCTGAGCTTTTTTTTTCAGGATCTGTAGGGTTTCAAGTAATTTCCGATTGAATTCAATCGATTTTATGCACTTGAGCAATTTCCTAGCACTACGAATCTTTCGAAGTCTGTACAATGTCGAGCACTTACAAACATAGCCGTGTCTCTGTAAACCGTTCACCTGTGTGCATACATTGTGTAATCGATTTGTCCGGCTATCTCTACTAGTAATACCAGTTTTAGGTTCCTTGGGTCTATATGATCGTTGTTCGCCCAATATCCTCCATCAGTAATACAGGAATTTTGTAAAATACTAATATAAGTAATGCTAATAAATCAAGGCAAGGCAAAAAGGCGTACAATGTGTACCATCAGGTGCGTCTTCGGTGGTTACAAACTTTTCTTGTTTGCCAAGCGACTTGATACAACAAGTTATAAGCTTTATGAACTGCAGATACAGTGAATTGAACAATATATTTTGAAGTGAGTCTAACAAGGGATGGATACTTGGTCGAAGTGGCATTTCCATATGAAATATATATCGCCTTATAGAGCATGGAACGCTGAGTTCAAGTCTACTTCCGATATCTGCAAAGCGCTTCAGATAGCTGAGTTATGGAAATTTTTTGATGCAAAAGTTTGAAAGC